TTCAATTGTGTGTGTTTATTCAATCAGAGATGAGACTTTTAAGTCTCTGACTGATACTGTTGCTGATTTTAGTAGAGATTATCCTTGAATGACAAATTTTTTCAAGATGGGTTCAGGATTTGTTCATAGGACACTCTTGATGACTGATGTCTGTATGACAATGTTGGTTAGTTGAACCAATTCAAAAAATCGATATGAAATTAGTGAGTTTGAATTAATAAGAGGCATCATCACTAACTGGGGAATGCTGGCGCATCCAGTTAACTGACGAGTCCCAAATAGGACGAAATGCACGTTATCCTCGATTCTACTGCTAGTCACCATCCACCAATTAACTTCTAATTACATGCCCAGCAGACATCGTCGAAGCATCTGCACAAGAAGCTGACATGTCAACCTGAGACCAAGCACTTCGGTCTAATCAATCGACGGGAAAATCTAAAATCAAATTAAATATCTAGCTTATCCTTCGTTTGCATCCCAGTCATTTGTTTTGGTTTGTCAATTGTAAAATATACACACTGTCTACTTGTTGATAACAGATTACACATACACTCAAATCTATAAGATAATTTCCTCAGTTACGAAGCAGTTTACCTAAAGCAAAACTCCTCAGACAGAGTTTCACCGATTATTTTTAGGAAGGGTAGTTCCTCACTTTCTACTTTCTCCATTCCCCAAATTTATTGATTATTAATAACATTTAATCAAACTGTCAGATTAATTCGAGATTGATTTGACTTTCTGAGGTTAGTCAGACAGGCTACACCACTGGTAAGTTCGGCTGCAAACGAGTGAAATAGCGGTCAGGTGTTTAGGTTGATCCAGTGTGGTTAGTAAGCACCCCTGGTTGATGTGGGTGGTATCCACCTACTGATATCAGTCAATTAGTAGTATATAGAATGATTGTATTATTCATAATTAACAGTGATGTAAACGAATACATTATTTGTCTGTTTACACACTTCTAGTAATAACCTTTCCCATGGTAGATATATAGCGCCGCCACTAGCGGTGTGTGTCATCGGTGAGTATGTGTTACCACACTCACTGGTGACGAATTCTCACTACAACTCTAGGCAAGTTCGTCGCATAGCCAGTCACTGTTGAGCAGTAGATCAAATTTCAAGTGTTGGCTTGTTGGACAGGCAAGTGGACTGGTTGGCGACGGGCTCCCCATTGGGTCCCATTTTAGTAGATTTCTTTCTAAATAAAGTAGAAATCGGACCTTTGAATAACCACCTTATCAGAAAATTCTGATTTTATTGCCGGTTTATGGATGACACACCTTTATTCTTTGTGATTATGATTCGGATAGGAGTACAATAATGACTCAATTCAATAAAGTAAATTCTGTTATGAAATTCATGCGCTAAGAGGAATCCCAAAATAGAATTAATTACCTTCCTAGATGTCCTCCTTACAAGAACACCAGATGGTAGTATAGAGAGAAATTTACATAGGTAAAGTAACTGGACACGACGATATACACATTTTCATAGGTTCGTTTCTCTCCAGTACAAAAGAAGTTTAGTGAGGACCCTCAGCCACAGGGTTAGAGCTATATGCTCAGAAGAGGTAAATGAAGATGAACTTGAGATTGTACATGACACCCTAATTGAAAATAGCTATCCAGAAAAGTTCATCAGGAGACATATGAGTAAGAAAGTTGAAAAGGACTATTCACTATCTGTAAATATACGACTGCAATTCAAGGGTGAAGTACCGAGTGAATTAATTACTAACAGGTTAAGAAAATCGGTTCGATGGACTTTTAATGCTGGTAATCTACACGTCATAATTTCTACACGACCGGTTGTGATTCCTCAACTGAAAGATAAAGTACTTAGACTAGCCACTTCTAACTGTATCTACCAATTCAATTGCGCTTGTGATGGACCGAGTTATATTGGCCGTTGATTTAGGAACTTGATTTTTCGTGCTCTTGAACATCTAGCAGTGTGGCTGAGTAAAGGTGCAGTAAAAACCATCAAAAGTTCAATATTAGACCACCTGGTACAAACCGACTGACCACAAAGCTAGCTAACATTGGAGAATCCTTCTCTATCATCTACCGGGTAACAAATAAATTGCTAGAATCATCCAGGTACCGAAGACTCCAAACAACAGGGGTTGTTGAGGTTCACCTTAAACAACCAGGTGCTCTGTGTGCAGAAGAAGCAAGTCCACACAGCCACTATTACTGCCCTGGCTAGCCTTCAATGGAGACTATAAATTCATCAATTTTTATTACTATCTTCCCTAATTTCTCTGTCTGAAATTCAAAGTGTAGTGTTATGTTGATGCTATTGAACTGTAATCTATTGATATGATTATCATTATTATTGATTCAAAGTTGTTGTTATTAACACTAATTCACTCACTATTATGGATGGATATATAACTGTAGAGCCTGATGAAGAGCAGGTTATCGAAAATGTGAATATTCTTTGTTCAGTAACCATTCCTTTCAAAAATATTTAATGGGCTTTTTTAATCAGTTAAAATGCTGTAGGAATTCGTCTAATTTCAATTTAGGTCACTAGAAATTGTAGTTTTTGTTGCGAACCAAAACCTTCTTTTTTTCTCCATTTCTACACGTCCCAATTAGAACATAGGCCTTCAAGCATTTTCGCAGTCTTAGTAGCGGTGGTATTGATTATACAGGGGAGACCGGAGGGTGGTTTCTAGCCCCACACCCAACCATTTCTCTTTCCCAGGCTTACTACCCATTGGTAAACTAGGCAAGGTTAAGGACTACCTCTGCCGGGAATCGAACTCAAACCTTCCACATAGCTGGTAAGAGTTATAACATCGACCCACCGACGGACATGAGCCGAATTAAGGTGGGGATTATTAGGAGACTGACAGAACTAGAAATTTGTTTCTTTTTATTCCCGTAGTTATTGTCTGTAAATTCTCTTTACTTGAGTAAACACTGAACCCAGAATCGTTGGCAATCACAATGACAACAAAACCATCGAACATTATTCAATCGTCTAAAGCTTTTAAATTAATCCATGGTAGTTCCGACCATTATTCATTGTCACCACATGCCCAGTTAACTATATCCAAGATGGAATGATGACTGTGAGTGTTCGTTCACTGCCCATGAAGGACGCGAAACGACGGTAGATTAGACATACGCTAAGAGCAGCTTCAAGTGGTATCCAAGCCGTCGAGTGGAAGCCAAAATTGGGAAGCGAGCAACGAAAGGCATGTGGATCCAAGGATGATATTGGAAAGCTCATGAACAGTCGTAGAACCTTATCAGCTGAAAGTAATACCTCAAAGATCTCATATTCCACTCGAAATACAAGCCCTCATTAATAAGAAGGATAATAAACTGCCTATAAACTTCAAACCAATATGAAACAATTATTTAGTCCTATCTAGTTTTTCTTGGTTCTCTAGTTTGTGACGGAAAAATGTATCACAGTTAAATTACTAACTTTCAACACTTGGACAAAATCACTGGAAACCAAGGAGTACTGGACGAAGGTTTCATCCTAATTTTAGACTCCTCGGCAGTATACACCTATAACTTCCCTCTCGTAACATTTAGATATGATAGAGAAGATTTGTAGCTCAGGTGGATGATTTTGATGTGGTTGTGTTTTCTGAGCTGGATAGTTAATTTGCGAAGCTTTCATCGCCCTACTAGGCGACATCTTCAGCGCATACTTCAATTTGAAGTGAGCTTTTAGATTTCTCCACGAGTTTATTTGTGTGTTAACACACAAAAGGAATTGTATACAAACACTATTCAAGAGGGCCAGGACTCATTGCAGCACTCCCACCTTAAGGAAAATTGAAGAAAGATATCTTATGGACGTCTTCCAAAAGAATGGATATCCACGGAATTTCATCAGAAGACATATACCCCCAAGCCAACCTATCAAACCAAAAGCCCCCAAGGAAAGCACAAAGAAAATCGCCTTACCATATATAAAGGATATATCAGAAATCACTGCAAAACTCTTCAAACCTTTAGGAATTGACGTTGCACATAAACCAACAAAATCACTTCACTCAGTTCTATGTCAACCAAAAGACTCAACAGCGAAAGAAGATAAAACCAACATCATCTACAAAATAGATTGTATCAACTGCAAAAAACACTACATTGGCCAAAGTGGACGTCCCCTTCGTCTTCGTACCCATGATCATAAGCTAGCCGTCAAAAGACATGACATCCACTCCCTCATATCACTACATACAGACAACCACGGACATCAATTCGACTGGGACAACGTTCAAATATTAGACAGAGGAAACAACAAGAATGCTAGAGAATTTTTAGAAGCCCGCCTGGTATTCCAGTGAATCATCAATCAATAGACACATCGAGATAGACAAAATTTATCAACCGATAAGAAAGAAACCTCACACACAAAGGGTCAAAGTTCAAGTCAAAGAAACAATCAGTCCCAATACAAGTAGCCTAGAAGGTGTGAAAACACACAAACAACCAATCACGTCCAAGGTCTCCAGGAGAGATGATTAATAAACTCGTGGAGAAATCTAAAAGCTCACTTCAATTCAAATTGAAGTATGCACTGAAGATGTTGCCTAGTAGGGTGATGAAAGCTTCGCAAATTAACTATCCAGCTCAGAGAACACAACCATATCAAAAAATTCCCTCTCGTCGGAGGTTGGACACCAAGAACTTCAGGTTGTAAGGCAATCTCATTGACCATTCAGTCATTCCGTTCCAGTGACTGAAAACTTAAACAGGCTCGCCATTTAACCCGATGACCTTGAGTTCGATGTCTAGTGGCTCCCAACCTACAACAAAAAAGCTGTTCAATGGTTTCAATGCTTCACTAAATGAAGTCAATTTATATTCACACTTGACAGTATCACAGTTAATCAGTTCCCTATCTTAAAAATTGAACTTATTAAAATCATTTGAGTTAATAAAATCAAATTAAATAAATAAATAAATTAGATTTATGAATTTTTAAAAATAATAAAATCATTTATCGTGTATCACATACCTGTTGAAAATATTTACCCTGAACGATAAGACGAAAGAAACGAAATTACAGGAGCGGGAAATTTGTGGAGTTGTTGCTTGTTTTCTAAATCCTGTACCGATGATGAAAACAAGTTGAATACTGAATAAAAAAATGATCACTTGATATAGATTTATTTATTTATTTATTTTATATTCTCATTTTGTTTACACATGTTGTTTACAATAAACTCAGAGGACACAAATACACACACAAACACACAAATAAATAAACACTCAAACATGACTATACGCAAACATGTTCATAGATAACCAATCCATAATGTGTACCTTGGATACTCTCTCTCTCCCGATCTTCAATGTTCAAGGTTTCGTTTGTTTATCTCTATCACAGTGTGTGTGTGGTGGGTGTGTTTGAGCGCGCGCGCGCTCGTGTGTATAAATTAAATTACTGAAATATCATCTCCCTCCCCATGTATAATTAGTATGCAATGTTACTATACTATAAGTATAACATAGAAACAGCTTTAAGCTCTCTTTCTGTCTCTCTCTCTCTCAAGATCAACATGTTTGTGTGTGGATGAACTTATGCACACACGAACCGGGCCCCCCTCCCTACACTCACCTCATACATATGCACATAAAAACAGACAAATAGATTATACGACTACTTATACATTGTTATCATGGTTACTTGTATGACCTTTTATAGAAAGCGTTGGTGTATAGGTGTATCTGTGTGTGTGTATGTGTTCGTGTGTGTGTGGTGTGTGTGTGAATGAGTCTATTTGTGCTATTTTAAGGTCAAATTTTCACTAACAATAGAGCACCAGATATATATCTGGTGCATTGTAGATTACTACCACTAATAATAATAATAATAATCAATTAACATGAGAATAAAACTGAAAAACTCTTATAGTGTAAATTAAAATCCTGATCACTATTCTCATATAAGCAGAAGTAGTACGGCATGTGCTACTCACAAGATTTATCAGTAGTACATTGGCACAAAAATATCAAATAGTGGAGAGATAGAGATTTGATGTCAAATAAACAACCGGCTTTGCAGTGAAACATGGGAGATTTCATTATGAGCTGACAACAGTTAGAGAACCAGTGGAAAACCAGCCAGGGAGTACTGGATTGCTGTTTCGTCCTAGTTTAGGACTCTTCAGCAGTACGCGAACCCCGGTGGGTGAATACTGTCGAGTACTCCCAGGTTTTCCGATTGTTCTCTAACTGATGTCAGCTCATGATGAAATCCTCCAGCCAATCAAACAAAATCCCGACAAAAACCAATTCTTGAAAATTAATCTGATGCTCACTAGTGACTGGCCCTATTCAGGCAGTGACCTGGGGTTCTAGTGGGAAGCTGTGACCAGTAAGGTACAGCAGGTTGAAGGTGAGGCAGTAACTCATTGAAGAAGACACTGTGAAGTGGTCGCGCTATGTCATGAATTGTCAGAAGTTATAATTCATGAGCTGGCCATTGGATCAGGTCCCAGTGAGTGGCTTAATGGTCTACGAGCTCGCTAGCCTTGTAACCAGAAGGTCCTGGGTTTGAACCGTGGCAGTGAGTGCGTACTACTGAAGAGTCCCAAACTGGTGTAACGAAAGATATATCCAGTACTCCCTGGCTTGTTTTCCAATGGTTCTCTAACTGATGTCAGCTCATGATGAAATCCTCCAACCAGTCAAACAAAATCTCTACAAAACCAATACTTGAAAACATGGGAGACACGAAAAGAAAACAAAGAGACACAATATGAAGCTCGGGGAGGCGGGGGGAGAAATAGCACAACACGAGAGATCTGTATAAATGCCGACTTTAATATATGGCATACACAATTTCCCTAAATGTGCATATCAAAATGAAAATAAACATCCCGTTACTAAGTCTCTTGTCTTCTCCCGTTACAGTATTAGTGGTAGTAATTGTACAAGTTATAGCGGTTTAATATGAGTATTTCGGTTGGTAGTGATTAGCAGTGGGATCCAGGATGCGCATTTTGTGCTGTTTAGTACTTGTAAACATCCTAGGAGCCGACATATTGATAGAGACCGGACAGTTTGGTCCAAAGAAATCGATCAACGGTAAATGCAGATTAATCATAAAATAAATCACATGTGTATATTTGAATAAGGCATTTAGAAGACAAATTTCACGAGAGGATATCGTTATTTCGTAAGTTTCTCTATTCAATCACTTTACAACTAGCATGGTTCATGATGGATGAGCTTCGACACATGCATTCAGTTTTAATTAACTTTTGGTTATCCAGAAAACTTTATCAATTGTCACAGTAAGGATAGAAGACCACATTTTGAAAAGACAGCTTCTGTACTAAAGAAAACTATCTTTATTAACCTACCATTCAAGGATGACCAGATTATGCAGTTGACAGCTCAAAGACTTCGGTCAGCTATCAAGCACTGATTTCTGTACCTACGATTAAAGGATGAAATTCTGTGGACTCTACTTCAAACTGTACCTACGAGTTCACCTGCAGTTGCGGTGACACCTATATAGGTAGAACCAACAGAATGTTCCAATGTCGTCGGAAAGAACATGTTCCAAAATGGTTATTAAAACATATAGAAAATCCCAATGAAGTTATTAATCTGAATAGAAATCCATCATCATCCATTGCTAATCACTTGTTAATGTCAGGTCACAAAATTAATATTAATGACTATTTCACAATTATTTCATCACATAACTCTAATTCAAGGTTATTAAAGGTGATGGAAGCACTTGTGGGGATTAATCACATACAGCCTAAACTGTGTGTACAAAAAACAATAGACTTCAATCTTCGCCTACCATGGACAACATGACCTATCTAAATATGATTGGTCACTAGTATGTACTTTTGTTTTATATAACCGGGTAATTGTCATGCCCTTTATTTTATTATTGTGAACCATGTGTTTTGCCCATCATTCTTTATTGTTCTCCATTATTCTTCCCTGGGCTACTGAAGAAAGACCATATAATACTACGAAGAACATTGAAGGCTGTAAGTAGGGTCAGTGCTATCCCATTGACTCAACTAACCGACACTGTTGTCAATAGGCATATGAATTCTTGTAAACACTTAGCTAAAGTTATCTTGTCTAATAGTGAACATCCTCTTTATTCACAATTGTTTCCTTGCATCTCTTCGGGTAAGACGAGAAGAAATTTCATAAACATTTATGCTCATACTACAAAATATAAAAATTCGACCGTACCATATTTAGCACGAGTATTGTGTGAAGAGACAAATATCAGAAAAGAACTTTTACAACTTTTAAATCATTAACTAAACTATAAAATGTAATGATGCATATTATTGCATATGTTATTTGTTATATTATTTATTTATTATTCACTATGACCTAGCAATGGTGTGGTTTTGTTGCGGTTTTCATTTTTTCCTATTAACTATCAATATTTTAACATTTTATACATTTATATAATTATAAACAGAGCTAAACCATTGCGATGTGTAAAAGAAACGCTGAAAACTCCATGCTGTAAATTGTTATTGTTGTGGAATAAAGTGATTATTATTATTATAATAGTTGTAAAGCGATTGTAGAGAAACTACGAAATGACGATGTCATCTCACGAAATTCGTCTTCTAAGTGGCTAACTCAAATTTATCAAAGGAACTAACTGTTTTAGTTTTCTCATATGACTATGACTGTCAGCTGTTCGACAGCAAGAAGAAAACTCATATTGTAACGGAATCATATGCAGTAGACACGGTGTTCCTTTCATTCGATCATATAAGTACAGTGTGTTGTACCACTGGGGATCCACATTACCTGTTCTAAGGTTTCACCGTTGTGTGGTGAGTACTACTGATAAGATTTGTCAGTAGTATGTGTATAAAGAGACGTTCATCGATATAAAAACGGCAAATAGCAAGGAGATACATTTGATTTCAGAGAAGGCAAATTTTATTTTTTTTATTATTTTGATTACAGCTTGATTCTGCACCGTATTTTCAGTACAAGTAGGGAATTTTCAGCTCGGATATCGATAGCCCAAATTTTGCAGGCCAACCATAGATATCGGGTGTGTGTCGGCAGGGTATCGAACCCCGGACCATGTGCATGATCGGCAAGAGTCCTAACCACCGCGCCACAGACGCAGCGTTGTGGGGATACATGGGAGACGTGAAAGGAACACAAAGAAACACAATATGAAGGAAGGCCAGAAGTAGCAGGCACAACACGGAAGATCTGTGCAACTGGTGCGTTGACGATAACCTATATATAATTTTGCTATATGTGAGATACCAATTTCCAAATAAACATTCCTTTACCAATCACCGAAAATACTCCACAGGCTGTACAGTCGTATTTGTATTTACGAGTTGATCACGGACTGATATCAGTTAGAGAACCATTGAAACCCAGGGAGTACTGGACAGCTGCCGTTTCATCCTAGTTTGGGAATCATCGGAAGTACGCAATCACTGGGATTCGAACCCAGGACCTTCCGGTTACAAGGCAAGCTGGCTCGTATACCATTCAGCCACTGGGACCGGATTCTATGGCCAGTCCATGAATTCTAACTTCTACCAATTCGTGATTTTTGCGCGACCCCAACTATTGTCGTTGGTGGGAAATCCATCCACACACGTGACTTCTAATTGGACCTCACTGGTCACGACTTCTCACTAGAACTGCAGGAAGCTCCAACCTGTAGCAAGTCACTAGCGAGCATCAGAATAATTTTCTATAGTTTGGTTTGTAAGGATTAGTTATGTTTTACGAAAATGTACAGTAGCCTATTATTGAGTAATAGGGGTGTCTGTGTGACATAATTCGTATAATTAATCAGAAGTACTTTCGAAAGTAAAAATAAAAGTTACAAATTACGTAATACTCGATGGCACAAAGGATGAAATGGTTAAAAGTTTGATAAGTTTCAAATTGTTATTGAGTGAGGAGAAAGGTGGTAGTTGAGTGTCAATTTAACAAGTGTGAAGAGGGTGAGAAAATGTACAAAGGGAACATGTGAGAGTGATAATAGTGAATTAATTCTTAAAGTAAAAGCAAACTAAAAGTAAAATTTAAAATTTGAAAAAATTAAAATTGTTTACAGGGAAAGACTAGTGAAGAGGTTAAGACTGTGGTAGAATAAGAGACTGGACAAACTTTTTCTGTATACAGA